TCGCCCACTTCCTCCCAACAAATCGGTGATCTGCACAGGCGCCCATATAACGCATCATATGGAGCCATGTCGATGCTTGCTTGGTAGCTGTTGTGTAGGCAAACTCTATTAGGGGTAGATGGTCATCCCAACGGCCCCCAGAGTCCAGGACACAAGCTTGGAGCATATCCTCAAGTGTACGAATTGTCCTTTCTGATTGTCCATCAGTCTAGGGATGGAAGGCAGTACTAAGAGACAGCTTTGTTCCCATAGCTTGCTGAAAGCTACTCCAAAATCGAGAAGTGAACCTGGGATCCCTGTCAGATACCACTGTCACTAGAACTCCATGTAATCTGACTATCTCTCAGATATACATCATTGCCAACTTGTCCAAGGAATCGGTCATCCTGATGGCTAGGAAGTGGGAAGACTTGGTAAGTCGGTCAACAATTACCCATATGGCATCATGTCCTGAACGTGTCTTGGGTAGCCCCGATACGAAGTCCATGGTGATATGTTCCCACTTCTACTCCGGGATCGGTAAAGGCTGAAGTAACCCACCTGGGCGCTGATGCTCTCCCTTGACCTGCTGACATACCAAGCATTTAGATACAAAGTCGGCTATATCTCTCTTCATCCCATTCCACCAAAACTGGGGTCACATGCTTTGGTACATTTTGGTGCTTCCTGGATGCATGACAAACTTTGAGCTATGGGACTCCGTCATGATGTCTCTTTTTAACTCACTGTCATCTGGGACACACACTCTGTCTTCGAAACGAAGTAATCCATCGGCAGAGATTCAGAATTCTGAGCTCACTCCCTGTTCTGCATACTTCTTACGGGCTATCAGGGTGGCGTCGACTGACTAGGCTTCCCTTATTCTCTAGATTAACTCGGGCTGGATTATCAGGCGGCCCAAACATGTGACTCTCTTTAGATCCTAAAGTCGAACCTGTTGCGTGGCCCCAATTGGCCTACATTCTAAAACCATTAAATGGGCTAAGATACCTGTATTTTTCCTATTGAGAGCATCTGCTACCACGTTGCCCTTACCCAGATGGTATAAGATATCACAATCATAGTCCTTAAGGAGTTCCATCCACCTTCTCTGACGCATGTTAAGATCCTTCTGAGTGAATATGTGTATCAAACTCTTATGATCGGTATAGATCTGAAAGGTCTCTCCGTATAAATAATGGCGCCAGGTTTTCAAGGCGTGTATGATTGCGGCAAGCTCTAAGTCATGGGTAGGATAGTTCTTCTCATGATTCTTTAATTGTCTGGACTCATATGCTATAACATTTCCATTCTACATCACAACACAACCCAGACCTAGATAGGAGGCATCACTATAAACTGTATATCCTCCCGATCCACTTGGTAAAGCCAGCACGGGTGCAGTAGTCAGCCACTTCTTTAATTTTAAAAAACTTCTTTGGCAGTCCTCATTCCACTCAAACTTGGCATTCTTCTTTGTGAGTCGGGTTATAGGAGCTGCTAGACTGGAGAATCCTTCAACGAACCTACGGTAATAACCTGCCATTCCCAGGAAGCTACGGATTTCCTTAACTGATGTCAGCTTCTCCCAGCCAAGTACCGCTTCAACCTTTTCGGGATCCACTGATACCCCTTCCTTCGATATGATGTGTCCTAGGAAGGCGGTCTGCTCAAGCCAGAACCCACACTTAGTCAACTTTGCATATAACTTCTAGTTTCTGAGGACCTGCAAAACTTGGGCAAGATGGTGAGCATGTTCTTCTCTGCTTTTTAAGTAGACTAAGATGTCATCAATGAACACGATAACAAATTGATCCAAGAACTCTCTGAAGACCCTATTCATCATATCCATAAAGATTATCGGGGCATT